GGAGACACATATGTGTTAGATGAATGTGAGAAAATTTCACCAAAAGAGGCATGGATTTAAAATCAGTCAAGAGATACTACATATTAGGTAGATAATTATTTATGGTGTGTAGTTTTTGCTGGGAGTGCTTTTAAGATGTAAATTTTATAAAGACAGTTCAGAGCTGTTCTTGGCAACTGGTTTTAGAATGACCATCTTGACTTTGGTACATATCTACTTGGTCTTAAATGAGGTTAATCTCTCAGGAAACAATTTAGAGTTGACGGACAAAGGGGAGAAGCTAGACTAAACCAGCCCTGGGTTTATGGCAGGCCACTGAACTGGGCTTTGGAGGATTAGGGTGGGCTGCTGAGAAAGCTAAGCGGGGTGGCAAGGAGACTGGGTCATTCTTGTTCTTTTCAAACACCATTTTTAGGGAAGGCTTGTGACCAGCACTTTATACTTTTCCGGAAAACTTTGGGAAATTTTTCAGGGAATTCTTTTTTGTTTTTTTTTCTCACGCTTGATAGAGTGCTATGGTGTCATAGCTCACAGCAACCTCAAATTCTTGGGCTCAAGCAATTCTCTTGCCTCAGCCTCCCAAGTAGCTGGAACTATATAGGCACCCAACACAAACACCTGGCTATTTTTAGAGATGAGGACTTGCTCTTGCTCAGGCTGGTCTCAAATTCGTGAACCCGGCAATCTACCTGCTTTAGCCTCCCAGAGTGCTAGGATTACAGGTGTGAGTCACTGCTCTTTGGATTCTTATTCCTGAGTGTCTGTGGCCTCCTTCTTATGGGGAGAAGGAAGTCAGTTTTAAAAATTGTTCTTTGTGGCCTCAACTTGGATCTGTCTATACCCCTAGCATTCCAGAGTATCTGGGATTATTGACAGCCTTTGGCATCCCCCTCCCAAAGTAAACAAATCTGTTGTCAAGAATTCAGATAGATTCAGGAATACTAGATAAAGTATTAAAGGTAAAGACTCCCTCTCTGCCCGTTTCAGCTCCCTAGGAGTCCAACCCTGTTGGTAGTCTTTAATCCTTTTATGGAATTTCATGTCTATACATACATATAGTGAGTAAGAAAAAACACCACAATCTGGGTCTGCTCTGTTTTGGGCTTGCTTATTTCAAAATCTGCTTGGTACTTTTTTTTTTTTTTTTTTTTTTTTTGAGACAGAGCCTCAAGCTGTCCCCCTGGGTAGAGTGCTGTGGCATCCCAGCTCACAGCAACCTCCAACTCCCGGGCTCAAGCGAGTCTCCTGCCTCCGCCTCCCAAGTAGCTGGGACCACAGGCACCCGCCACAACGCCCGGCTATTTTTTGGTTGCAGCCGTCATTGTTGTTTGGCAGGTCTGGGCTGGGGATTCGAACCCGCCACCTTAGGTATACGTGGCTGGCGCCTTAGCCGGTTGAGCCATAGGCGCCGAGCCACTTTTATGTTTTTCTTACATCTGCTTCATCAGGTGTAGCTCGGCAGCCTGTGAACACTGCCCAGCAGCGGGACGTTGAATCTCATAAGGACATAGTGAGAATGACTGGAAGTAGCTGGTGTGGTAGTTCATGCCTATAACCCAGCACTTTGGGAGAATGATGTAGGTGGATTGCTTGAGCTCAGGAGTTTAAGATCAGCCTGATCAAGAGTGAGATCCCATGTCAATTAAAAAAAGATGACTATGTTGGCCAATTGGATGAAAGTATTTCAAATTGTATATGGAAACAACACACTATATCCCATGATAGAATTAATGTGCACAAATATGATCTAATAAAAAAAATTTAAATTATCTTTTGATGAAAGAAATGGATTTTGGATCCATGAATTTCCTATGCGTGGATCTTCTTTCGATGGAAAATAAAATTCAAAACATTCTAAAAAAAAAAAGAACATCTAGCTGGGTGTTGTGGTAGGTGCCTATAGTCCCAGCTACTTGGAAGGCTAAGGCAAGAGGATCACTTGAGCCCAGGAGTTTAAGGTGCTGTAAGCAATGATGACTCTTTCGCAGGCACTCTAGCCTGGCCAACAGAGTGAGAGTCTGTCAAGAAAGAAAGAGAGAAAGAAAGAAAGAAAGAAAAATAGATAGAAAGAAAGACAGAAAGACAGAAAGAAAGGAAACAAAGGAAAGAAAGGGAAAGAAAAGAAAGAAAAAAAGAAAGAAAAGAAAGAAAAGGAAGAAAAGAAAGAAAGGAAAATGACTGAAAGCCAATGGTGCAGTTGTGCAGCTGTCTTTATGTATCTTTTGCACCATTAAAAAAACTAAAAGTGTGGGGCAGAGGGTGCTCAGTTTCAGGCAAAATATCACACAACAATGTGATACTTAACGGGGTGCTGATCTTTTAGCCTCTGTCTTGGCCCTTCAAAGTATAGTTTAGCTCTTAAAGTGAGGCAACATAGGTTGAAATTCTTACATTACCAATTTCTGTGTTACCATGGCAAGTAGCTTAACCTGTCTTTGCCTCAGTTTCCCCACATGTAAAATAGGACCCAGTTCTGCCTATCTCATGGGACTTCTTGTAAGAATGAAAAGATGCAATGATATAAATTTTATGAAGTGGGTATTTAGTACATACTAGCTGTGAAGGGTATTGTTAACTATGGTGAATTATTACCACTTGTATTTAATAATTTGATCATATAAATAGACCACTAGTTTTGTGTGTATATGTGTTTTTTTTTTTGTTGTTGAGACAGAGCCTCAAGCTGTCCCCCTGGGTAGAGTGCCGTGGCATTACAGCTCACAGCAACCTCCAACTCCTGGGCTCAAGTGAGTCTCCTGCCTCCGCCTCCCAAGTAGCTGGAACCACAGGTGCCCACAACAACGCCTGGCTATTTTTTTTTGGTTGCAGCGTCATTGTTTGGCGGGTCCGGGCTGGGTATTCGAACCCGCCACCTTAGGTGTACGTGGCTGGCGCCTTAGCCGGTTGAGCTATAGGCGCTGAGCCTGTATATGTGTTTTAAAGGGACCAAATAACCAAGCCATCTGTATTCTGGGGTAGCGACATTTATAAAGCAATCTTTGCTACACTGAGAATGTAACTCAGTGAATCCTATAAGGAAGGAAAAAGCCTTTCAATGTGGTCAGAATTCCTTTTTGATGTGATTGTACCAAGAAGTAAAAACAATAAGTGGGTGAATATGTTCAGTGTTGTCCCATATAAGATTAAGAGCTGACGTAATGTTTCCAGGAGAGTATGAAAAAATTACTCTGAAGTGAATAGTTTTTATTGTATTTGTAAATACAGTGGGGACATTTTGTGTTTGAATTCTATTAAACCCTTAGTGAGTCTCAGTATAATAACATTTATAGCCCAATTAATAAGGCAGTACATTGTAGAGTGATTGGAAGTTCAGAAAAACATAAGAATGAAAATTAAAGCCCTGCCTAATCTCAGTGATATGGCATATTTTCAATATATTTTAAGTATTTAAAACTTGATTTGGGATTATATGCCTTTTCATCTCAACAGTAGCCTGTATTTTTAATTTACTAACTTACTATATTATAAATTAGAAATTATTTGGTGTTCTTTTGTGAATTATGTGTTTTAGTTAGAGTATTGCAATTGAAAAGGCTGTTTATCAAGGGAGATATTAACTCGCTTTCAGTTGTTATAGTAGTTTTCTTGTTCTTGTGTAATCATGACCAGTTTAAGAAATAGTTATTGGACAAATGACTGACAATATTTGGAACAGAAACGTATCTTTATTCCTTGGTGCATCAATTTTTTTCTTTTTTTTATCTTCTATTCAAGTCATCTCTGTATAAAGAAATGTGATATAATTTAGAGATTGTTGAATGAAAAGTGTAACAAGGATTTTGCATTTTGACTTGAGTCATGTGTCTGATTCTGATAAAGCTCTACTGAAGGATTGCAGCACAGTTCGTATACCCTAGTCTCAAGAAGCCAAATGTGTTTAAAATAAACAACCATTTATACCTGCTTGGTTCTAATCCACCATCATCCCCCTTTGCTCTCCCAACCAAGACTTTAAATGTTAAAATAGTAAGAATTATTGTTTATCCAAGAATTATGTTGGTCAACAAAAACACTCAGTAGATTTTATGACCTCATAGGTACATCTGAATTGTCCACACATTTAAGACCCTCCCCATCAATTCACCTTTCCCACTGCCATCCTAAGAGGATAAGTTCTAAGGGACAACTCTTCTGACTCCCATGTTTTCCCTGTCTCCTTGGTGGTTGCTTCTTAAGGCTCTCCTGTGTGCTCTCCTTTCCTTCTTTTTCACCAAACTTACTGAGGCCTGGCACATAGTCTGAGCTGCCAGGCATTTCTCTCCAACTACCCAGGCTACACCAGAGAAAATCAGTAATATCCATCTTCTCTGGGGGTGGCATTCAAATTACCACGTATTTAGGTGCCCCTTATGTGCTAGGCCATAAAGCTACAAAAATGAAAAAATAAGGGTTATGACCTGAAAGTGGCAAGTGCCCTTGGGGAATTCTGACAAGTAGTCAGGCATAGCAGTCTCAGGGACAAATAACTCCAAGCCTTATTTTGTAGTTTTTTTTAAGAAGGGAGGGTGCCAGGAGATATCAAGGCCTTCAGAACTGTACCTACCCCTTCATCACATCATCTAAGAGAGTAAGGAAGGACTGTCAACTGAGTGCCAGTAGGGTGATGTGGTACAGTGGAAGAAGAAACTTGGAATTGGTCCAGTCTAGGGTTAGAACTGGGAAATACCAAGCAAGTGACTAGTGTGAACATCTCTGAGCCTCACTTTCCTCATCTAAACAGTGGGGACAGTGCCTTCTTGTGGTCTGTGCTGATGGGTCACTCAGAGAGTAATAATAGTGCCCCTTACAAAAATAGTGCTCACTACCTGCCCAGTCTATGTTGTCTTATGCATAGAAGAGGCCTTCTCCAGATTATTAAAACCAAATTAGTGGAATCTTTTGGCTGCCTGAGGGCAGAAAAGAATTGAGAAAGAAATGGTAATGTCCAACACTCTGTCAGGTTCACTGGCGGTGAGAGTTGTTGCTGGGTTGTGCCCTCTAAGGTGGGTGGAGCCAGAATGAACAAATTCCTTGTCCAGATTCTCAGCACTGCAGATGTGAGGGTGAACATGTCCTGGATATGACTGGCGGCAAGCCTTTCCTCCGTCTCCTCACAGGATGGACCTGACAGCTTATGCTGAGCTGTTGAAAGAATCTGGCAACCAGGTTCTTAAGAATGGGAACTTCTCTTTGGCCATCAGAAAGTATGATGAAGCCATCCAGATTCTCCTGCAGTTATACCAGTGGGGGTAAGTGTTTGGATTTCCACCCCCACCTTTTCTGTTTTACGTAAAGGGGGATTCTATTGCTTATATGCTTTTGTTTTCTTCTCATTTCTTGTCACACCACTTAGTTTTTGTTTTCTTTCTCTCTCACTTCCTGTTTGTCTTCTCTGCTCCTCAGCTCACAGACTGAACGGAGATTGTTAGTGTAATAAGGGAAATAGAAAGTGAAACACAGGGGACTGTTGATAAACAGAGCAGAATTTCGTCTTTTGGCTGGCTGAGGAGTCAGAGTTCTTAGGATAGCTAAAGTTCCCAAATCCCCTCATTCATCTTCTTAATCATTCCTGCCATTTACTCCCTGGCCTCAGTGCCTACCACTGGGGCACTGAGGCTCACTTTCTCCTTTCCTTACCCTTTAGCTTCTAGCAGACCTGTGCACTAAAAATTGAGGACCCCAAAGAGCTTTTGTTTATATAGGCTGTAGCTATCAAATCAGTCTATATGAGAACTTGAGACTGAGAAAAAATGAAAAATATGTATTTATTAATTCATTAAAAATACCAAGAAACTCATTACCTGTTATATTTTCATAAAAATTATATTTTTCAAAACAAAAAATTTAGTAAGAAGAGTGGCATGTTTTTGCAAGTCTTCTTAATATCTGTATCAATAGAAGGTGGCTGGGTTTTTAAGTCTGCTTCTGCATTCAGTCTGTTGGCCATATCAACATCATGTAGCTTCTGGAAAACTCCCTGTATACATGTGACAGAATGAGGGTGGAAAAATTATATAATATCTTAGTATTATTGTTGTATTAGTTTCCTATTGCCACTGTAACAAATTACCGTGAATTTAGTGGCTTAAAACAATATAAATTTATTCTCTTACAGTTCTGGAGGTCAGAAGTTCTAAGTGAGTCTTATAAGTCTATAATAAAATCAAGGTGTTAGCAAGAGCTGGTTCTTTGTGGAGGCTCTGAGGGGAGAATCCATTTCTCTGCCTTTTTCTTAATCATCCATTCCATTTTCTTTCTAGCCACAGTGCAAGCCACCTGGGCACTAAGGTGGTATGTATTGCTGATGGCTTCCTCTATTCTTTGGGTTACAGCCCCTTTCTCCATCTTGAGAGGCCAGTGTTCCAATCTTTGCTTCTGCCATCTCATCACTGTTACCTCTGTTTTAGTGGTGTTGTCCTCTGTCTAATTATGTAAGGACTCTTGTAATTGTGTCATAATCTAGGATAATCTTTTCTCTTTAAGATCACATCTCCACATCTTTTGATAATCACAAATTGCCTAATGGTAACATTATTTAAGGGGCGTTATTCAGTCTACCATGGCTGTGAAAATCTTTTGAACTTGTGGACCATCTGAAATGGTCTTGAGGACCCCCAGTGGTTCTGAGATCATCCTTTGGGAACACCTGTAGTAGAAGGAGCAGAGTTTGGCACCTATGGAGTGCACACAGACTAAACTTGTACAGAGAAATGGCATCAGAGTAATTACTGAAACATGACTCCCACTTCCGCCCCCGGTCCCCATCACCTTCGTATCTACTACATCAGTGTTTTGTAACCTTTTGTATCTCATGACACACTCGAGCCTATAGTTAAACTTTCTTTTTTTTTTTTTTTGAGACAGAGCCTCAAGCTGTCCCCCTGGGTAGAGTGCCGTGGCATTACAGCTCACAGCAACCTCCAACTCCTGGGCTCAAGCGAGTCTCCTGCCTCTGCCTCCCAAGTAGCTGGGACCACAGGCGCCCGCCACAACACCCGGCTATTTTTTGGTTGCAGCCGTCATTGTTGTTTGGCAGGTCCGGGCTGGGGATTTGAACCCGCCACCTTAGGTGTACGTGGCTGGCGCCTTAGCCAGTTGAGCTATAGGCGCCGAGCCAATATAGTTAAACTTTCATGGCATACTTAAATTATGTTGATCCAAACAAAAAAAAAAGAGTTAAAAAAAAAGAATATACTTACTGTGCTTTGAATTTCTTTCAAAATAATTAATGATCTTTTAAAATTATCACGGCACACCGGTTGCAAATCACTGGTCTGTACTGTAATTGAATTTGCATGGAGAGCAATTGGCTTATGCCTATTGTTTCTGTTGTTCTGTTTTACCCTGGTATCTATCAGAATCATGTTAGGGCTGGGTCTATAGCTCCTCATTCAGGGCAGAACATTGAATTTCCTAGAAAGATGTAGTGTTGTATAGTGGTTATGGGTGTAGACTGACCCCACTCTGTGGGGTCTCAAATCTCAGCTCCATCACTTACTTCCTGTGTGACCACTAATGGGACTTACAGACTTTTACATGTTACCTTTCACAGGGCCTTCCTGACACTGTTTTCTTTGCTCATCACTTGCTTCTTGCCTTCCTGCCACTGCCAGCTAATATAGGGATCTGGGTGTATGTGATTTGCTGAGTAAGTACTCTCAGGAGAAGGCGACTGAGGGAGGCAGGATGGGGCAAGCGAAGGCTCGAAGCAGGGATGGTGTCTAAACTGGGGTCAGATTTGGTCTGATCCCACGTGGAGTTCTGGAGCAGAAATCGTACTGCAGAGCTGGCTAACCTTTTGTTTCTCACGGTGATCACGGGGAGTAGGCTGTCTGGCCCTTAGGGGTTATTCTAGGGAGTGGTATGCTCCCTAGCATATACTGGTATGCTCGGGCTGTCATAACAAAATACTATGGTTGGTGTGGCTTAACCAACAGGATTTTATTTCTCACAGTTCTGAAGGCTGGGAAGTTCAAGATTAAGGTGCTATCCTGAGGCCCCTCTTTCCTTATAGATGGTTGTCTCCTCACAGTGTCCTGACATAATGGGGAGAGAATGAAAACAGATGCGGAGAGAAAGAGAAAGAGTGCACAAGCTATCTAGTGTCTTGCCTTATAAGAGTAGTAATCCCACCATGAGGGGCCTACCCTAATGACCTCATATAAACATAGCTACTTCCCAAAGCCTCCGTCTCCAGATACTATGGGTTCAACTTAAGAATTTTGAGAAGAGACATAATTCAGTCCATAACATGGATATTACTTCCTGCAGAGAGGGCAGCTCTCATTAGGCTGAGGATAAGTTTCTGGAGAATTGGGTACTGAGAGCCTCTACCTATAGCCAGCAGTCAATGTGGCTGTACAGTGTTTCCTATACTAGCAGTCTGGCTCCCAACTACCTGCTGCCTAACCCACTGCCTCTTGTGCTTGTCTGGAGCCTCATCCCTTCACTGAGAGGGAATAATGACTGTGAAAGAATTAGACACAGAAAGCATTGAGGGTGGGGACAGTGATAGAGGTGAGTTTTACTTTGTTTAATTTTTGTGCTTATCTGTATTACCTAACTTTTCTACAGGATTTGTATTATTTTACCAATTAAAATATTAAATTACAAAAACCTTATTTTTCTCCCTCACGTCTTACATTCCAGCGGCACCTGGGTTTCTCTTGACATATTGTGATTTGTTTTGCATTTTCCTTCTTCTTCCAACCTGGTTGTAGTATTAGAGATGGTGTGATCACATGTTCTGAAAAGACCTTCCTGTGATATGCTCTGAGTTCATTCTGCATTAACATGCATGTAGAGTTCATATGGTGTCTGGACTCTGTAAAGTCTCAGTGAGAATTCCATCCTTAAGGATCAGTCACCATTTTCTCAGCGTCTTATCCAGTGGTCTCAAAAAATAAAAAGATCAGTGGAAATTGGTGAGGGATGGAACCAAGGTGTTGAGAACCTTTATCATTAAAAGGCGACAGCAGATTAGGGAGTGAGGAAGGACAGATTTGTACATTTTAAATGCTCCAGGCTTTCTAAGGGCCTATGAGACTGGTCTGACAAGCATAAATGAAACATTTCTTTCAGAAAACCCCTTCCTGAAGGCAGAAGCCAGCACTAGAACAGTGGCCTTCAAGGATTTTCTGTATTTGTGGAATGATTGCTTTATAGACCACTGCTTTGTTCTTTTTCAAAGGGTTCCCCCGAGGGACTTGGCTGTGCTGCTGTGCAACAAATCCAATGCGTTTTACAGCCTTGGGAAGTGGAATGAGGCATTTGTTGCTGCCAAAGAATGTCTCCAGTGGGACCCAACTTATGTGAAGGTATGGGGGAGTGAGTGAGGCTATGGGGGGCAAGTGAAGGTATGGGGGGGTGAATGAGGGCATGGAGGATGGCAGCTGGGGCTGCTGCTTTCTCTTTCTTAACCTGACTCTACCTTCTTTTTAAATAGAAATGGTAGGAGTGCTTCTAGTTTAACTCTCTTTAAAGACTGATACTCATAGGGAATGTGAACATTATCTTGAGAAGAGAAAACTATGCCAGCCAAGAGTTTAAATGCACTTATAGGTGACAGGGGAGTTTGACTTCTTAGTGAGTGGAGTACAGTGGACATCACAGAGGAACTTGTTTTGACTAATGTAGTCATACCATACATCATTATCTGTTCATGTTCTTTGCTGTTTGCAAGTTTCATTTTGGCAAAGCTTTATTTCAAATGCAAGATGTGAGGACAGCATGATGCAGATCCTTCAGAAGTATTTCTTACAGTAGAAATCATTCCTTTGGACGGATAAGGGAAGTTTGGGAGGTCAGTAAGACCCTATTAACAGGTTGATAAATGATCATTTGGTTGTCTTTTCAGTTAAAATGCCCAGAGTGCCACTCTTCAAGGCAATTTCACTGTTCTTGGTGCATCAAGGCTGCAGACAAAGGAGTGAAAGACATCATCCCAACCCCTGCGTAATTCACATTCAAACTGGGGAGAGGACTAGCATTAAAATCAGAGGCCTTAGATTTAATAGCAGTTCTGGAGCTGGCTGAAGAAGCATACGTAAAATTAAGTGTCAGATTAGTGGTATAGACAATTTATAGAGAGGCTCCACAGTAAAATGGCAAAAACACAGGCCTTTCTGTCTCATGCATTGCTGTGTACTGATTTCAACACTTTGGAAGAACTTACTTTTCTCTCTTTAAACCATAATTTACTTAACTGTAAAGTGAAGTAATGTCTATGCATTAGAGTTGCTTTGAGGGTTAAAGAAACATTAAAGTTGTTGGCACTCACTCAGTGAACACGAGTTCTTATTATATGTGTATCTTTGGTGGTCTGTGTTTCATGCATGACTGCTAGAAACAGAATAGAAGGGAGTGGGGGATGTTTGACCTATAGATCACTCCAACTCTGAGAGAGGGGTTTGGATATTTTACATTATAAGTAGGTATTGATCCTTAAGCCTCTTTTCTTGAAGGATGAATAATTTGGAAATTACTGACTAGTTTTAAAAATGAGAGTACATTCCTGATAATTATTCTCAAAGGCAGTTTAGGACTTTCCCATCTTCTAACTGGTATAGGATGGGAGTAGTTGGGTTTTGCTTAGATCCCTGAGGTGGAGGCTGCGGCTGTGGCCCCAGAGGCTGATGGGGTCCTGGGTGATTATTCCTGGATTCTTATTTGAGTGGCTCAACCTACAGTAGCCCCTGACAGCACAGCTATCTGGGTCCTTACTCCATTCTTGCCTAGAGCTCTTGAGTGTCTCTCTTTATCTCTGCTTTCTTCCCCAATAGTCATTGTCCTCTGTAGTCTCTAGGGAAGGAAAAAATTTTTCCCCTTCTACTCTCTTTTGGTTTAGTGTTTGTGGCCCTGCAAATTAGACTGTCAAGAGGCTGATTAACAGGAGAAAAGCACAAGAATTTTATTTGATGTTAATTTTTATGTGACATGGGAATCTTCCTAGAAAAGAAGTGAAGACCCCAAAGAAGTGGATAGGCCTGAGAAGCTTATATATAATTTTAAACAAAGAGTGATAAATTGTGGAGATGACAGGACAAAGAGTTTTTAATGCTTCTAGGAGCTACAAACTGTGGGAAGGTGTGTGCGTGTGTGTATGAGAAACTAATTGAAGATAAGTTCTATCTTAGCAAGGTTTGTGTAGGCCCATTTTGGTGCTGATGTTCTGTCTTCTTTATGGCCATAAAACTTCCCTAGGAGAAGGGATTTCTGGCAATTCTCATTTCATAGGAGTTTCTCCCTTTAGTCAGTTAAGTGGAGCACTGGGACAGTTTCATTTTTATATCTGTTGAATCTCAAATGTCTTCAGGTCAAAATAATCCTTATGCCAGACTGGCATCTTTGGGGATGATGTATTCTGATTCCCTTCACTACCTTCAAAAACAAAAACAAAAACAAAAACAAAAAAAGAAAGAAACTTCAGTTTGAAGAAGGCAGAGAAATGGAAGGTTCTGTATGAGCTTGGCTTGCTTGCTTGGTTGGAAAAACAAAAGAGAACACTTTTTCTTTCCTTTTTATAATTATCTGAGGTCTTTAGTCTTTCAAATGAAGGTTAAAACAAGTTTTAAACTTCAACATGTTTTAAAACAAGTCAATAAATAATCAGAGATTTGGTGCTATGTGGAATTTTTAAATGCTTGCTTGCTTTTTTATGAACCAGTTAGTGAACACTTAGAAAATTGTTTTGGTATAGATCCTTTATGCTGTTTCAGATGATCAAAGTGGGGAAGGGAATATTATTTTCTTTCTATTCAAGAGTCCTTTTTACAGAAATCAAAATATTTTCCCTGGCTCTCTGGTATATCTTGCTGAAGATGTAGAGCTCAGTAAATCTCAATGCTTGTCATTATACTTTTCCCCCCACTTACATACCCAGTGGAAATTGTGTTTACTTTGAAAGGAGCAGGAAACAACTTCTGTGTTTATATGACAATCTCATTCTTTTCCTGAACACTAGTTATAGGATTTTTTCATTCTTCTGTTCTGGCTAAGGCTGTGATTTGAGGTATGAATAAATGAACCACACATATAAATGGAAATAGGCTTAACTTTCCTGTTTGTGTTGTATGTTAGATAGTGTGTAAGTCATGGATTTGAAAGGGATTATTTTCTTAACAGTTTAAAAGATGACAGGAAAAATGTGGTATGGAATATAATGTAGAAACCCTATATCCAGTGTTTGTTAGAAGTCCATGTTTACATGGAATTAAGACTTCTGGAGTTAGATTTCCCCATGTTTCCTTCCAGCAGCAGGTACGAAGAGTTGTAGTACATTACTGTTTTGCTTTTTTTTTCATATTCCAGGGATACTACCGAGCTGGTTATTCCTTGCTGAGGTTGCTTCAGCCTTATGAAGCTGCTCGCATGTTCTTTGAGGGTCTGCGACTTCTGCAGAACAGTCAGGATCAGACACAGGTTGCTGATTTTCTTGTTGGAGTCTTCACCACTATTAGTGGTAAGTTGGAATTGGGGTACTTGTTATTTTATTTGAATAGTTCCTGAGGACTCAAGCTTCTGGGAAGATAATTTCTTTGTGGGTGATTTATGTAGCTTGAATGAAACTGGTTTGCATATTAGCATTTTGAAAGCTTTGGTAGTTAATGCCTTTGTAAAAACAAAGTCTTTTTGCACAAATGACTTAAAGCTTTGGGAGCTTTGTTTCAGATCCTTTAAGTGGTCTGTGTTGCTATTCATAGAGATTTCCTTATTCTTTTTTTTTTTAATTAAATCACAGGTATGTACATTGATATAATCATGGGGTACAATGTGCTGGTTTTATATACAATTTGAAATATTTTCATCAAACTGGTTAACATAGCCTTCATGGCATTTTCTTAGTTATTGTGTTAAGACATTTATATTCTACATTTAGTAAATTTCACGTGTACCCTTGTAAGATGCACCATAGTGTGGTCCTACCAATCACTCTCCCTCCACCCATCCTGCTCCCTCTCCTCCCCTTTCTTTCCCCTTTCCCCTTCTTCTTGGTCTATAATTGGGTTATAGCTTTCATATGAAAGCTATAAATTGGTTTCATGGTAGGGCTGAGTACATTGGCTGAGTACTTTTTCTTCCATTCTTGAGATACTTTGCTAAGAAGAATATGTTCCAGCTCCATCCATGTAAACATGAAAGAGGTAAAGTCTCCATCTTTCTTTAAGGCTGCGTAATATTCCATGGTTCCTTATTTATTCTTGTAACTATCTATGTGACTTTTGCTTTTTCCTGTGATTTTCACATGTGTTTCTCTAATATGTTGAGAAAATATTCTGTTTACTATGAAAATAACTTGAAAGGTCTGACAGAGGATCCTGTGAAAGCTGATAATGGGTGCTCAGCATCATGGTGTGATGCATACTGCCCTGCACAGCATCAGCAGAGGACTCTCATGCTCAGCTAGGAGGAAGGGAAACCTTTTGCATTGCTGTATTAGATTACTAGTCCAATGACCTGGCCCATGAGATGGCTTTGTCAGTGGCTTTGTCAGTGGCCAGAAACCTATAATGCACAATGTAATATGAGCCTTGTGAGGGTGCAGTATAAACTTCTGCCAATAACCAATCTGCTGTCTTCAAATATTGTATTTGATCAAATTTAAGTGGAGCTGATTTAAGCTATGCTATTTGTTTATCTTCTGCCTGTAAGAGACGACCCCATTTTTAAGATATGGCCCAATTTCAGAGATGTTAGATTGTGAAAAACGGGATATGTTAGCATAGCTGAGAAACTGTCTTATCTTTCAAATGTGGGGCAGTTACTGCTGACAACTGATCATCTGTTACTGATTCAGCTGTTTCCATTGGTATTGTGGGAAAGCAACTTCTGTGGTCTGTGAATGTAGTCCCACAGATTTTGACAAGTTTGGCACAGAGAGGGTTTAGAATAGTAGCAGAAAGTGGGAAAAGATTAGAGGCAGGCATACCCATCACCCCCTAGACAGAGAAGCAGAAAGTCTATATAAGGGCTAATGGGTCATAGCTATCCATCCCCTTGGCCTTTTGCCTACAGTGGCCAAAGCTGGTCTTTTTTTTTTTTTTTACCTCCTAATCTGATGGCTTGGCTTATTCCCTGCACTTCCTCACTGTCTTCTCTGTGTCTTTTAAAAGTTACTCTTTTGTTACAAGCCAGGCCAGAGTTATGGGAATTCCAAACAACTGCTTCTTGATTTCCCCTTGAGATAACCTGGGTGGTTTCCATTCTGCCCCCAGCCGGAAAGGGGGGCAGTTAACAGAACTTCTTAAAGCAATGTGTCCATACATTCCCACCCTCTTTGAAGGGTGAATGTATGCTCAGGGCCCCATTTCCAAAGTTCGAAAAATATACTTACGGAAATTTCGTATCCTTTCGTATAGTGTATATTTGTTTTCATACTTATTTTTTGAGATTATTAATCCTGGAAGAAGTACCAAGTTATCTGACACTTGGATACTCTCATCCATGAGCTTGCAAGATGTGATTTGGAGGATCATGAGTTGCAGTAGGTAAATGGCCACTGAAGAAGAATGTGTATTGATTAAAACAGTTGGTAGATCTAGGTTCCAGTCTCGGTTTTTGTCATGAACTTGCTGCATGATGTCATGAATATTACCTTCATTTGTCGTAATTTCTAGTCTGTTGGGTAACAATAATATTTGTCACATTTTTCAAAGTGAGTTTTGTAATTTTCTTTAAGCTTCCATTTCCTTCTCTGTAAATGGAGATAATAGGCACTGCCTTAGTGATTAACCTTAGTGATAAACATATATCATTGGGCTTGTCAAATGGATAAGTGAAGTTCACTTTATGCTGCCTAACTCTTAGGGGATTGATTTTTATGGGGAAACTTAAAACAATTGTCATTTCTGGCCATGTTAAGTGGCTTATACCTATACTCCTAGTGTAGCAGGAAACCGACACAGATAGAAGACTCCAGGCACCAGTTGATTAGAAGAAGCGGGTTTATTCTGCTGGGGGTACTTGGAACACCAGCGTGTTTCCCAAAACCGAGCCCCCCGACTCAATCTCTTGCCTCTCTTTTATCCACCTTTCAGGGTGGGAGTACACGTGAGGGTCATAAGACAGAGAGACATGACATCATCCTCAAGGTCCCGGGCTCAAGGGAGAAGGTCAGATTTGCCCTCGTCCTTGAGACCGGTTGGACCACCTGCCCCAAAGGCAACAGAAACCCAAGGAAGTTACTAGGTTACAATCTAGGCCCCACGTATGTCAGGGGAGAAACACCCAGACAGCAGAAACGCCTGTGGCTTGGCTGAGGCCTACACAGAGCAGCTAGGATAGATTCTTTTAGTTCTGCTTTTACTTTCTTGCCTCACTAGCATTTTGGGTGTTCGAAGTGGAAGGATTGCTTGAGGACAGGAGTTTGAGATCAGCCTGAGCAAAAGTGAGACTCTATCGCTACAAAAAATAGAAAAATTAGCTGGCTTGGTGGCACATGCATGTGGTCCCAGCTATTCAAGAGGCTGAGGCAGGAGGATCATGTGAGCCCAGGAGTTCAAGGTTGTAGTGAGATGTGATGAGGCCACTGCACTCAGACTGGGGGATATAGCAAGATCCTTTCTCAAAAAAAAAAAAAAAATCCTGCAACTTAAGTCAATTATAAAAGACTTCATACTACTTTGAAAATATTTTCTTCCTGGAATCTTTAATTTACCATTTGTCTTTGTGTGGCCTTAATTGGAGGACCTTTTCTGAAATGTTCTGGACTTTCCTCATGTTAACATTTCTTAACTATGGAACTTCCTTTTAGGTGACTCCATTGTTTTGCAAAGTTTCTTGCCCTGCTTTGATCATATTTTCACAAATGGATTCTCAACAGAAGTGTGGCAATCTGTAATAGAAAAGTTGGCAAAGAAAGGATTATGGCATGTAAGTAAAAGGAGATGGCTCTTCTATGGGGAAAGTATACTCTTGATTACATGTTGGCTTGTTGTTGGCACTGAGGAATTATAATTTATTTTATTTGTTTGTATTATTACCAGAATAACATTTTAGTGGGATATAATTAAAGGTGGAAAGTCGTTGAGTTAGATTAATCAGCAAGTTTTAAAGATGAGAAAAATACTTAGATTATATTTTTCTACAGCCTCCCTCCTTGCTCTGTATCTCCATTGTCATCAAAGAAATGTAAAGTTCAGGTGCTAATCATGAGGTGGAATTAGGAAAATAAATAGTTGCCTGTTCATCTTCACAGTCTTTTTTATACTAGCATTAGCTACTATGGACTCAGATGACCTGCTACTTCTACTTGAGGCTGGTTTATTTATAAAGAAAAGAGATTTGGGCAGTGCCTGTGGGTCAAAGGAGTAAGGCGTTGGCCCCATATGCCAGAGGTGGCCAGTTCAAACCCAACCCTGGCCAAAACCACACACACACACACACACACACACACACACACGAGATTTATTTGGCTCATGCTCCTGCAGGTTGTACAAGAAGCATCTGCATTTAGTGAGGGCTTTAGGGAGCTTCCAGTCAAAGTTGAAGGTGAAGGGGAAGCAGATGTGTCACATAGTGAGTGCAGGAGCAGGAGAGAGAGGAGGTGGTGCTAGACTGCACCCATTAGTGCAGGGAAAGCACCAAGCCATTCATGAGAGATCTTCCCCCATGACCCAAATACCTCCTACTGGGCCCTGCCTACAACACTGAAGTTAAAATTTCAATGAGTGTTGAAGGGGCCAAACATCTGAACCAGATCAGTGTAGGACCTGAACCCACGGCCAGGAATCCATGGAATGAGGAGCAAATGAACTTTCAGATGTATCCTTGAATTGTAATCCTTCACTTACTATTTTGGGCTTATTACCTCCTCTTTGAGCCTCATTTGCTCATTTGTAAGTTGCATCATATAAACTTATACTCTCGGGGTTTGGTAGGAATTAGAAATAATGGACCAGATCACCTAATAATAATATCAGCTAGTATTTGTTGAAGGCTTACAATGTGCCAGGCATTGAACTAAGAAGTTTTATAATAACTTGGTACATGAATGTCAGTGGTAGTGAATGGTAGTGAATGATCATTGATGATGGGCTATAGGCATGTATAAAAATGAGCTGACCAAGGCTGGGAGTTTGGTTAGAAAGGTTCTTCTTGGTTTCTGAAGCTGAGCAGTCCAGAAAAGTCACCAAAGGCAAGGATACCCTGTTAAGGACTGTAGATCCAGGCAGGTTGAATGACTTTAGGATAGAGAATTAAGTTTTTGGCAATGTCACAGATTCCATTTGAAATCTAAGGAAATCTATGGGTTTTCTTTGTGTGCGCAGACAGTTATGTATATAATTTTAGGGGGCTCATAGGAATCCTCTAAAGTCCAGCCATGGGTGTCCTGAAACTTCTCCCCATAATAAAAGGTCCGGAGAGAGGAGGCATTGGGGATGAGGAAAGCAGATAGGACTCCTGGTTTCCCAGGAGTTGGAAATCCAGGGCCTCATTAGAAGATATTTGGAATATTTTCTCTTTGTATAAAATGGTTGACTAAGAGATATATAATGATCTTTCCAACTTTATATTTTAAAAACGTTCTGAAATTCTGTGATTCCAAGTGCTATAGAAATACAGTTCAATTTACAGCACCTAGGAAATAACTACATTCCTTCTTCCCAACGTAGGGTGGACATAACCTGGGTGGGAGTGAGAGAAGGAGAGCCAGGTAACTCCTAATAATAATCGACCCAGATAGCCAAGGGAAGGCCTTGGAATCCAGTCCAGCCCAAGAAGCAGGTGTAATATGCAGTCTGCAGTAGGGCTTAGATAATTCCCAAATATTGGAGATAGAGGCATCTTATAAACGTCAGGCAAATAACAAGGACTGTGAGAACCCTGAACATTATCATCTGGGGTTGAGTGTGAGCACCTGGGACTGCTTAGAGTAAATGGTTAAGAATGGACATCAAACTGAAAGAAACTAGAAGCAAGGTATAGCCATAGTCTCGGTTCCTGCAATCTTGAGTCTACTGGCAAGAGCATAAATGAAGTAGGTTGGAGCTGAGACTGGGTCTCCAGTATGGGCATACCTGAGCCTGGAATTCTTAGATCTTTTGGCACACCAAGATGATGTCAATGGGATCTTCTTAGGATGTGCTATGAGACCTTGGAAAAGTCTAACTTCTGAGATTCATTCTCTTCAGTGATTTCAGATAAGGTCATGGTTTAAAAACTGGCTCTCTGGAAAAAAAACCGTAGCATTTGCCAATTTCCATACTGTAAATATTTCATGGCTAATTTCTATGTCTAATGTGAACTTAGAGTTGGGAAGAGATGTGCACCATCAGCTCACTAGCTGACAGGAGCCAGGTCTAGCATACTACTCAGTAGGATATAATAGGCTTATGAAACTCTGATGTGCCAAAGAATTGATTGGGATGGGATATTTCTAAAGGATTTAAGTCTAATGCTTGTTAAAGTTTAAGACGATTGTAGAGAATTTTTTTTACTCCACTGCCACTATACTCTCTGAAGTATGGCATGACATCAGCTGCTTTTGTCCTCAGTAGGAAGTATGGAGGGACCTTAGCAAAAACAAGAGGTTGATTAGACAGGGACTTTGATTATCAGGGCTCAGGCTAAAAACGGTGACAGGTAGCATTAAAAACAGACAAGGCTAGAGTGTGGGTTATTTGTTTGTTTGCTTACTTGTTTTAAAGCTTAAAATAACCTTCTTGCTCTAATAGCCTCTGGGGAACATTATTCCAACCTGTTCTTTTTCTCCCTTCCCACCAGTCATTTCTACTTCTGTCAGCAAAAAAAGACCGACTACCAAGAAATATCCATGTCCCAGAGTTATCACTGAGAAGTCTCTTTGAGGTAAAGTGGCTTCTTGAACCATATGGCTTCAAATCAGGCCACTTTGGCCTTGTATCTGGGACCTTCCTCTTCAATTGCCTCACCACAAATTTGTTATTTATAATTGGGCCATGGCTAATTGAGGTTTTATTGATTCTAAACTTTGTGGGTGAAGGAGTTTAAAGTTTCATATTGATGTAGTGACTTCCATGATTCTTCCTGTGTTTTTTTCCAGAAATATGTCTTCATTGGACTTTATGAAAAAATGGAACATGTTCCTAAGTTAGTCCAGTGGCTCATCTCCATTGGTGCAAGTATCGAGACTATAGGACCATACCCTCTTCATGCCCTCATGAGACTTTGTATTCAAGCGAGTGAGTCTTCTCCCAGTTACATACCCTCTAAGCAGCCCTTCTACCTCTGGGCTGTGAGCTTTGGTACTTAGCCGAGCTCAAATAAGCTAGTATTTATCCCCTCTAAGGTAGCATATTCAAATGATTTGATTAATTTGATTATTCAAATGAATGAAGCAGCAGGTAAACAGCATCATTTTTATTTCCCCTGGGACCTAGTAGCTACAGGAGGCCCAAACTGAAAGTATTTTGTGTTCCCAGACAGGTCCTGGCAGCGGGGTGGGGCTCTGGGATCCTAGGAAGGGATTTCAAATAGATAATTACTGCAAGGCAGCACTCCTCCTGCTGGTGAAGGCAACTTTGGTCTTTTCCCTCACATTTATTTTCTCCTACTGCTGTGTTCTGGGACCATGGATGGGGAGATCCCAAGGAGAATGTGGCCTATTGCTAGTACAGTTTGGTTGTGGTTCTTCTAAAGGACTGCTGTTTCCATAAAGTTCTTTTTTTTGTTTGTTTGTTTAAAGACTGGGACTCATTCTGTTTAAAGCCCAGTCTGGAGTACAGTGACACAATTATTACTCACTCAACCTCCAACTCCTAGGCTCAAGCAATTTTCCTGCCTCTGCCTCCCAAGTACCTAGGACTGTAGGCATGTGCCACCATAGTTGGCTTATTTTTAAAATTTTTTGTAGAAATGTGGTCTTGCTGTGTTGCCCAGACTGGTCTTAAACACCTGGCCTTAAGTGTTCCTTCTGTCTGATTCTCCCTAAGTGCTGGGATTATAGATATGAATGACCCTGCCCAGCCCATAATTCTTTTTTAAAAGCTTTATTATCTGGTTATAGGATTTGGAATTTAAAATTTTAAATACTTTTATCATTAACACACACACACATATACACTTAAGACAGAAGTTTGTTTTTCCTTCTAGTATGTGGCATCACTGTTGGACATTTACCTATATGATTTTAAAGTTAGAAGGTGCCAAGAGAACTTGTCTAGTCTACTTCTTATAGGCTGTATCATCGCTCCCCAGGAGTGGGGGAATGATTAGGTGGCATCCTCATCTTTGCCTTACCAGATTCGTGCTATTATCTATTTCACATAGTGGGGAATCCAGAAGAGATTTCATTTTTATACAGGGATTGGTGGATAAAACATTTAAAAGTAAAGCCTGATTAAAAGCCATTTAACCCTTCCACTTTCATGTTAGGAAACTAGAACACAGAGAAGTGTGCCTGTGGTTATGAATGTCACAATTCTCCATTGTGTCTACTCTTTAAGTTAGCTCCTCCAGTTACAGGTGGTATTGTTAAGATCAAACCTTCAAGTTTATCCCTGATTCATTTCTCAGAGGACAACTCTGACATGGTGACAGGTGGTGTCACAGAGTTGGCAGAGGTGTGTGGCTTTGCAAGAGCTCAGGAGCTACAAAGAAGGAATCTGGGTAAAGAATTTAAAATATATGTCCTACTGATAGTAATGTGGTAGGAGTAAGATAATCAGAAATACTGTCTTGATTAGTGAAGTGGAAACTGTTGGTGCCCAGTCCAGATCCTCTTTACCACCAGCACCCTCCACCCCCACCTGCTATCAGTGTTGGCTGCTAACAACTCACAGCTGTCCCCTTGGCTCAAGAATTGCTGTTTTGTCAGCAGGCACACTTCCTTGGGAGGTTCTCTCAGGACCTCGCCTCGCTCACTGGGGGCATTCTGTAGTTCTTGACTGACATGGGTACTGAAGAGGTCGGCTTTCATCCCCCAGAGTGGGCCAGGGCTGTGGTGCAATTCTTGCTCCAAAGCTCTTTAGAGGTTGTGCTGGAGTGACCCCAGTGAGGACCGCTATCTTGCTTAGTTCTTTTCCCTGCCCTGTCCTGCACCCTGCTCTCTTTCTCTCTAGTTCAATCAATCACATGTATAGGAATCCCTGTCTCAGGCTTCTAGTGAACTTGACCTAACTCATCCATTCAATTTACAAAGTCCCATGTCTCCCACACCTATTTGTGGTGAGTGGAAATATGTTGGAGTCCTCATTTGGTTACCTTAGTATGGTAAACTTTTACTGCTTTGCTGATTTTCCTTATGTGGAGGATAACATCAGTAAGTTGTTTTAATTCCCTTTAGGGGAAAACCATCTTTTCAAGTGGTTAATGGACCACAAGCCTGAGTGGAAAGGTCGCATCAACCAGAAGGATGAAGATGGCTGCACTGTCCTACATATTGTTGCTGCCCACTCCCCAGGATACCTCATTAAGCGTAAGTAGCAGCACCACGCTGGAGGGGGTGCTGTGGGCTGGATGGTTTTAGGCGTGTGAAGGTCTACACAACTGGTCTCTGTGTTTATCCATTCCTTCCCATGGCTGGCTCAGGGGGTTTAAACTTTCCCTTGAATTAATCATCTGGAGAGTGGGCTGTATGCATAAAGGAGGGGGGGGGTGAAAGAAGGAAGAATTCTGGATTCCATGTGTTCTTCCACCTTTAAATGACTTCGGTTCTTTTGACACAGACGTATCTTGTTAGCCTGTGAAATAGGAGGACTATGTTCACACCCATGGAGGTCTCTGATGTCACTCATTTTTCTCAGTGTTTGTTTTCTTTTTTGGATAGAGAAAACCATTTCTTCCATAATGGTGATGGATCTCGGCCTCAGTGGAAGGGCAGTGCAGGGAGTGGTGGGGAGATTGTGCCTGGTGCTACTTACTGTAGCCTAGGGCTGATTGGGGGAATCAGGCTGGCTGTCATCTGCTGCTGGCAAGAGATGTTTGGGAATCTGAATTTTTATTTTTTATTTTTTTATTAAATCATAGCTGTGTACATTAATGCAGTCTGGGATATAATGTGCTGGTTTTATATACAATTTGAAATATTTTCATCAAACTGGTTAACATAGCCTTCATGGCATTTTCTTAGTTATTGTGTTAAGACATTTATATTCTACATTTAGTAAGTTTCACATGTACCCTTGTAAGATGCACCATAGGTGTGGTCCCACCAATGACTCTCCCTCCACCCCCTCTTCTCCCCTCCCCTCCCCTCCCTTTTTCCTTTCCCCATATTCTTGGCCTATAATTGGGTTATAGCTTTCATATGGGAATCTGGATTTTTAAAAACTGAAATCTTATGATGTTCAAATGATAGCTCATAATTCAAAATGTCTGTGATCTAGACACAGCCCAAAGGCCTCCAATTGGAGACCTCTGGTCTGATGGGTAGGAAATTGCCATTTTCTTTCTTTAGAACTTTATAAGATATCCTTGGAGAAGTATCACTTCCTCCTTCCTACTCCACCTCCCCTTTCTCATCTCCTCCTTTCTGTCCCTTTCATATCCATGCCTGTAGAGAATCAATTTCTTTAATATCAGTGTTGTTCTTCCTGTATTTCTTTTGCAGTAAGAAGCAAATACATGTGTGTTTTCTTACATTTCCTTCTTTTTCAAGAGTTACTGTGTATTTTTTGGCACTTAGCTTTATCATTCCTGGAAATCACTCCATGCCAGTTCATACTCATAAACACATATGTAGTTTTGTTAGATCTTGTCAAGTTTTCAGGAGGGTTGCACTGATACATATTACCACCAACAATGGATGAGGGTGCCTCTTTCCCACAGGTACACCAATATAATTTGTTGTCATGATTGAAAAGTTTTTTCAGTCTGATAGGTGAGAATTGTTATCTCAGCGTTGTTTTAATTTGCATTTCTCTAATTATGTGTAAGTTTGAACTTGTTTTTGTGCTTGAGAATCATTTTTCTATTTCTGTGTATATGTTCATGTTTCTTTTCCATTTTTCTATGTTTTTTTGGTCCTTTGTCCTCAATTTTTAAAAATTCTTTGTTCATTAGTTCTACATCTGTAGTATCAATATACAGTGTATTGTGAATATTTTATCCTAGATTGTCAATTTTCTTCTGACATTGATCTTTTTAGTTATGTATTTCTTTCTTTTTATGTAGTCAAAATTATCAATGTGTTGTTTTATGTGCATATTACTCCCAGATTTGCGGCTAGAGTTGGAAAGTCTTTCCCTACTACACTTCCAGGCAGTAGATTCCTGATTTTCTCCAGGCAGTGGATTCCTGATCCATTGGAGTTTCTAAAAAATTTTAAATACATGTCATACCCACTAGGCTGACTAAGATTAAAAAATAAAGGATGAACAATAACAAGTGTGGACAAGCATGTGGAAAAATTGGATCTTTTATATTATTGGTGGGTAAGAAAAACAGTGCATCTGCTTTGGAAAGCATTCTAACAGTTACTAAAAAAGTTAAATAGTTACCCTAAGACCTGAGAATATGCATATAGGTACATGTCAAACAGAAATGTAAATATGCCAAACAAAAGCATATGTGTGATGGTTCAGAGCAGCATTATTCATAATAGCCAAAAAAGTAGAAAAATCCACATCTTCATAATCTGGTGAATGGATAAACAAAATGTGGTATATCCATACAGTGGGATATTATTTAGCCATAAAGGGAAGTACTGACACATGCTACAGAACCTTGAGAACATGCTAAGTGAAAGAAGCTAGATACAAAAGGATAAAAGGATAAGTGTCGCATGATTCCATTTATACAGACTTTCCAGAATAAGGAAATCTCTAGAGAGAGAAAGTAGATTATTGATCTCCACGAGTTTGGAAAGTAGGAGTGGGGATTGATTGCTAATGCATGTAAGGTTTCTTTTTGGGGTGATGAAACTGTTTTAGAATTGGATAGGGGTGATAGTTGTACAATTTTATAAATATCCTTAAACCCACTGAATTATACTTTGGAAAGATGAATTTTATGGTATTTGAACTATATTTCAGTTAAAACATTTTTAAAGGGGAAAAATTTTAAAGTTCATGTTTTTGGTAAAATAAAATTTGAACACTGCAAAAGAATATATGATTAAAAGTAAATCCTTTTCTACAAAGTCAACTACTAAAACATTTTTTTGTGGATCTTGCCAGTAGGTGTATTTATTTACAAAGCCATTTTTTTCTCCTTTCCAATATAAATGTGAGTACACTCTATATTCTGTTTAGCAACTTGTTTTTTTAACTGGGCAATGTATCTTAGCCATCTCACAGAATTCTCTATTGTGGCCATATGCTACTGATGGATGTTAAAATGATTTTTAGTTTAATTTGCAATTGAAAATGATGTTCAGGGACCATTCTTCTACATATATCTTTGTGAATCAGTAGGAATGTATTTGTAGGATGATTTCTTAGTTGAGACATTGCCTGTTTGAAGGATTTGTACATTTATTTGGATAAATTTTTAATTTCAGATTTATATGAGGGTACAAATGTTCAGGTTACATTGTTTTCATTTCTAAGGTAAAGTTCAAGTTGTAATTGAACCTTTCACCCAGGTGGTGTCCTGAATACCTCATATTGTGTGCATTAGGTGAGAACTTGCCAATCACCCTTCCTACTCCCTCCATTTTCCCCTTCTTTTCTGTTCCCTCCCCCTCACTTGAATATACTTCTGTTTTCCTTTTGTGTAGGCATGTAGTTGTTTATATATCGGTTTCATATTACTGTTGAGTACACTGGATATTTGTTTTTCCATTCTTATGATACTTTACTAAGAATAATGTACTTCACTTCCATCCAGATAAATACAAAAGATGTAGTAAAGTCACTAGTACTTTTTTTAAAAGTACTATGGTATATATACTACAGTTTGTTAATCTGTTCATGGATTGATGGGCACTTGAGTTGCTTCCACATCTTGGCAGTTGTGAATTTAGCTGCAGTAAACATTCCAGTGCAGATGTCCTTGTGGTAAAATGATTTTTTTTTCTTCTGGGTAGATACCTAGTAATAGGATTGCAGGATCAAATGGGGGTTCAACTTTTAGTTCTTTGAGAATTTTCCATACTTCTTTTATTTGAATAAATTTTAATTTTAAGTATATTACATTTAAAAATAAAAAGGAAGAAAAGGTGCATACTGAGAGTCTCTATCCTACCTTTGTCCTTTAGCTACTGGAGGAATGAATGTTACTAATATTTTATGTTTTCTTTTGCAGATATTTTATGATGTACAAGTAAAAACATATGTGTTCAAGACGTTGGCATAGTGCTGTGTGTTTTGATTTTGAAAGCTACTGCTAACTTGAATCCCAGAAAGGTTGCCCCAATATTGTCTGAGATTATCTCCATCTTGAGTATTTTTTGGTACATGTAGAATCAAGAATTTTCCAGATTCTTTAATAATGGTCTAAACTTTAAACACACCACTTAAGGTAATTGCAGCATCAGTAGGTCCTTAGAAATCTTCAGTTCTGTTAGTATTTTTGGTGGTACTGGCTGTTATGATGGTCCTCCTGGCTCTGGTACATAGTGACTTGAGAGGGCCAGAAGGGCAGAGTCTCAGGAAATCACCAGAAATCCTAAAACCTAGACATGTCATTTCCTAGAATTGAAAGAGTGAGGATGGATTGAGGTTTGTTGCATCTGTCTTGGTTATAAACTACAGACACTCAAATTGATTTAGGTAAGAAAAGGACTTTACTGACTCATTTGACTGAAGAGTCCAAAGTTTGGCTCAGATACTCAGTCCAAAGGTGTACTCAAGAATCTTATCTTGCCTCTTAGCTCTGTTTTCTTCTGTGTTAGGTTCATTCTCAGGCAGTTTCTATTTCATTTGTGGCATCCAGAACCTTCTGGCTTATTTTCTCCAAATTGTTTTATCTCAGACAAAGAGAATACCTCCTCCCAATCAATATTTCAGTAAAAGTTCTATCAGGATGTGTTAGTGACCTGACTTTGGTCACATGTCCTGTCTGAACCAATCATTAGAGCCAGAATGATGGAATGCTGATTTTCTAGGTCTTGGTTAGGTCTTAGCCCCTGGAGAAGGGATGGAACAGAGCCAGAAGAATGGAATGATCTGATTGGCCAAGTCTTGATGAGGTCTTTTTCTCTGGAGCTGGGGAATTGGGGACACAGCTAGAAGTTGGGATGATCTGATTGGCTAGATCCTTGGGATGAATGATCTGATTGGTCAGTCCTGGTGAAACATTAGCTCCTAGAGCTGAGGGAATGGGGCAGCCAAAAGATGGGATGATCTAATTGGCCAGGCTCTGGTGAGATGTCACTGCTGGGGCAGTGGTGAGGGATGTGGTGGTAACAGGTTTGTTTGCCTGGTGTTAACTCCATCAAATCAGGTAGGCTGAGGGGAAAGAGGTATTTTCTCAAATGAAAACTGGGTCATCCTCAGTAAAAGGAGAGGTGGATACCAACCAGGCCAAAAAAGA